CGACAGTGGCCAAGTAGCAGGGTTGTGGTTGGTGGCTGGCTACTTTTTGCCAAGTTTGACTTTCGAATGAAGTTTACTGTAAAGCCAATACAAGATATCTAAACCTGTAAATGGACAGCTCTCGGAGAGGCTGATAGTTGTGCCCTTGGAGAGGCTCCTAATATAGGTTTCTGCAATGGCCGCACGTACGTAACTTAAATAAAACATACTGGTTGTTCGGTGACAAACCGTAGGGTAGGGAAGAGGCGTGGTGAGTGAAGGAAAGCGCGGAACTCTAACCAACAAGAAAAATTTTAAAAACAAGAAGCTTTCCGGCTTCCGTGTGGAAGGCTCGTTCGCGTAATTACGTTCCAGCGATGCAAGCTTATGTCCGTTTTAGCATGTTGCCAGAAGACCTGGCGTATACACTGGTGGGAGATTGTCACCGTTTTTGTTCATCGTTTTTCTCGTAGGCTGAAGAGGACGTTGACGCGGACACCAGGTTACTTGTTTTTCCATCACGTTGCTTGCCTTGGCCCAGTAAGTGTCAAAACTAGAATTAGCCCCGTGTTCTGCGAATACCTTGGACACGGAGTTCTTCATTCCGCGGCCATTCATGCGGTCGTTCAGCCTTCTGTCGAAATTTCTGCTCTCCCAAACAGACGCCAAGTCGCCACGTGCGCACTGCACGTCGATTGAAGCAGGAAATGGTGCACGACACGGACGCGCTCAAGAAAGAAAAGTTGTTAGGACCTTTTTGAAGAATACTCCGTGTAGAATATTACTGCGTTCCTATCCGAAAGAAGTGTGATTACTTATGTGAAACGCATGTGATTAAGCATAAGACCGCATGGATATGGATGCACTGAGAACTAACACTGTAGCATCTCTGTTGGGGGACGTATTCTTTTTTCTTGTTTTTTGTTGTTTTTTATACTCAGTGGGCCAGCGAGGTGGCCGGCAGGCTCGGCTTGCTGGTCTTCACGTGGGACTGAGTGCGTGACTCAGTCGCGTTCTGTATAAGGACCGAAATACGGCTATTTTCCTTCCTTCTTCTCCACGACATTCAAAATATCTTATTTTTATTTATTATTTATTAAGATATTGTGAAAGGCACTTCTGTCAGTGTGTCCCACGTTGTTTCTGATCTTAGACTCTGATATGGTCACGTTGGCTTTCTTGCCCAGATGGTGTTTGTTTAACGTGCAAGAGATACGCCGGCCCGCTGAGCTCGTTCGCGTTAACGCTGTTCTACTTGCAGCTTGCAAACGGCAGGGCAGCCGAACACGTCGATAACGGCAGTCTTGAAACGAGACCGCGTCAGAAAATCGGGACATGTGGTCGGTGCGGGCGGAGTCGCTTTCTGGGCGGCGTCTTGCGGCATGGTAGGTGACAGCGTTCCGGATCGAAGCTCCAGAGGCATCGACAGCGAGCCGAAGTTTTTTTTTTTTTTTTTTTTGAGGGCACGGCGCTCACCACCGAGTGTAAAGCCGCTTATTTAACGCTGGCATACCAGTCGACCGGTAGCTTGATCAACGGTTTATCTTGTTGTTTCCTGGAACAATGGCACAACCTCCCACGGGGTATCGTATTCACAGATAACGAGAGCGAGCGTAGTTTACTAGCGATACGCGAACTGATTCACTACACTTCACTGGCCAGGGTGACCCACCAAAACATTCGTTCGTCTTCGCTACAATATATTCATTCTTATTCGAAAAAAAAAAGCCATCTTTGAGATGTTCGCTTTTATAGTTCATTTCACTGCCTTGTACTTGTTTATACATATAACTTTTGTTATTCTCTTCATTCATGCTATGTCTGCTAGTTGATTTTATTGTTGCGAAAGTTACACGTCGCCATTCTTGGGATCATTCTTGTTGTCGTGCACATGAGCTCTCCTTTCGGTTTCTACTTCTACTAATACGGGACTTCTTTCTGCATATACGTATCATGTAATCATCTCCGTTTATTAACACGAGTAAACTGATACAGAGGACACGTTTGACTGCCGTATATGCTGGCGTGCTCTGTTCCGAGAATCGTCCCGACTTGCAGGAGGGACGACCTTCGCGCCGTACTGTCAGACTGTCGGGCTAACGTGGAAGCCATTCTGCGTTTGGTCAGAGACGCCCAGCGCCTCCTGGGAACACCGCTGCTCCTGTCCATCGGCGCCAACATGGGGGTCGTGTGCGCCGTTCTCTACTCCCTGACCGACTCCTTGACTCCCACCGGCCTGATCATGTCCGGCATCCTGTACTGCACCCTCAACTTCGCCGACGCCTTAGACGTCGCCTTTGCCTCGGAGTCACTCGCCGATGAGGTGACGTGCCTGTGGTGCAGAAGACTGGGGCGCCAAAAACATAACGTGAAGCAGGAAGAGCAGGAGAGAAGACAGAGCAGGAGAGAAGACAGAACGACGCTGTTCTGTCTTCTCTCCTGCTTTTCCTGCTTCACGTTATGTTTTTGGCGCCTCAGTCTTCTGCACCAAGTATGCACCAACAAGCCCAAAAACAAGTCCTTTTGGTATGCCTGTGGTACTTGTGTAAAACCACAAAATGGAAAAAAGAAACTGTCATCTGCCTGTTTGTATCCCAAGCTACAAAGAAATCGCTCCTGAAAAAGAAAACCTTGTCATTGGGAACACACAGGACTGCCGGGGGTCGCACGCGTAACCGAGAGCTCCAAGCAAGGCCACGTTCTTTTCGCCATTGCGCACAGAAGCCAACGGACGGCAAAATAAGAAGACGCGCAGCGTGGAAAATAGTGTCCCATTGTTCGTACGTAATCAGGTGTACTTGACCTGGCCAGCTAACCAAAAAAAAATCATTGAAGCTGCAGAGATTAAGAACAGACATTCTGGTGGATGTCTGTCAATCATTATTCAGAGAAATAAGCGCCATATTTTTTGTAGGGATGGGTTGATTTCGTTTGTTTTCCCGTCATTTGCTTTTAAACGCTGGTATACTTGGATCACGTGCGACAAAACGATTAGTCATCCCTTAGTACTGTGTCCCGTCTATTGTTACTGTTCGTTTGCTTTTGTGCGCCACTTCGAGAGTAATGTCGCAAAGAAAAAAGAGTAAAAGAAAAAAATGCGATAAAGGAAGGGAAAAGAAAACAAAAATAATTACACCCGGATCCTCATTTTCTTCGGACTGTGCTCCACTTTTGTGTAGCTGACTTAATTTTTTGTTGTAGATGATGTTCGTTTTCGAGGAATAATTAACATTCCTTTTGTTTCCTTATTTATGAACCATGGTTCGACACAATGTAACGACACCAAGCCTTGGTGACACAAAGATGGTGATAAAACCACTCAAAGAATGAAATTTCAAAAAGCAAAAATACATCTGGAATAAGCACAGCATATGTGTTCGGTCATCAGACACATCGCGTCAACTTATCTCCAGACTGTTACGTTGTAGTTTTTTTTACATTTTTAAAACTGTATTTTAGTAGTTACTACATTATTTACCAGTTTCTGCCTTCAATGTATTTTCTTCAAGGTGACCGAGATGAAGTGGACGCTGCGGTCTCTGCCATTCCAGGGCCACCTCGATGGATTCGCAAAAGATGTAAGGCGCTTCGATGGGCATTGCATCGAGCACTATAGTACTGTAGTGTTTCCGTTACCAGAAACGCTACAGTTGTTAAGCTGGCCCACAAAGATGTCGAATAAACACACAGAAAAAGCTGATGATCATGTTAAACTTAGCGAGAAACTGAACAAAAATTATTTTATAAACATCCAATTCGACAGAACCCTGCTGAAGTCATGGCACTTTGGAACACATTCCTGAAGAGCTTACGTGCATATTTTTCTTAACTACATGCGGAGTTAACTACATGCGGCACCAATGCCGGACGCGACAAAATCCTGTCGCCCTAATATGCCGTGTCACTATTTAACCTTATTGCGAAGTTGTTTAGCTAAATATAGTTCACGACGATGCAGGATCCCGGCCGCACTAATCCCGACTGCGGCGGCCGCATATATATATATATATATATATATATATATATATATATATATATATATATATATATATATATATATATATTGTCACGCAGTTTATTTCCGTACAAACCTACTGGAAGGCCGAGGAACGCCAACAGGCCGATAATACAAAACAAACGCAAGCTCGGGTCGCGCGTGTGCACCAACGCTGTGGCTTGCCGTTTCTTGCTGCTTCGTCGTCGTTCGCGTAGTTCCCTACATTTGCCCCCGGTGAACAGCGTAGCCAACCTGGCGACTTAAGGCGTAGTCACTATAGCGGGGTCGTAATACGGCTTCAGGCGACTCACATGCACAATTTCTCGGCCACGACGGCGTAAGTCATGAGACTGTGTCAAAGGCTCAATCTCATAATTGACTGGTGACGTACGGGTGAGAATGCGGTAGGGCCCGTGGTATCGTGCCAGTAATTTCGACGAAAGGCCAGGAGTGCTCGGTGGAATCCATAGCCAAACGAGAGCACCAGTCGTGAAAGTAGAGAGATGTCGGTCGGTGTCATGCCGTAGCTTCTGGTGGCCTTGGTCCTCGGTTGTCAGTGAACGGGCCTATCGTCTGCAATCTTCTGCGTACCAGGCAACATCAGAAATTGCAGTGTACTCAGAGGAGTCGGGCGTGTATGGGAGGACCCCGAACCTCCACCAGATGTCACGTAGTTTATTTACGTATAGACCTACTGGAAGGCCAAGGAACGCCAGAAGAGCGAGGAACCTCAACAGGCCGAAAATACAAAACAAGCGCAAGCTTGGGTCGCGCGTGTGCACCAACGCTGTGGCTTGGCGTTTCTTGCTTCTTCGTCGTCGTTCGCATAGTTTCCTACATTATATATATATATATATATATATATATATATATATATATATATATATATATATATATATATATATATATATATATATATATATATATATGTGTGTGTGTGTGTGTGTGTGTGTGTGTGTGTGTGAAAAAAATTTTAATAGTTTGATCCGTTGAAAGCGTGCGTCTTCTCTTGTTTCAGGTGCGGTCATTTCATGAAATCTTGGACCCGTCAGCGATGTTTCTCAGAGCCCATGGTTTCTTCCGTGTAAACATGGCGCAGATGATATCGGTAGGTGTGGACGCTCGGCACAATTTCTCACGTGGATGATTGAAGTAACCGAAGTTTGTCAATATGTGTACACAAAGCGCTGCGTTATCGCATTTCTTCTTTTCTCTGTGTCGGCGAGTAGATGCGTTGCCGGTCCGTCATGGAATACAAAATAGGCCTACATTGTACCTGACATGTCCAACACTTCCTACGTAGCGCGCAAATAAGGGAATAATAATGATTCAAAAGCAAAGTTTTCATTCTTATACGTAACCTAATCAGAATAATAATATTTTTGGGGGATTTAACGTTGCAAAACCACTATGCTATTACGAGAGACGCCGTTGTGGAGGGCTCTGAAAATTTTGACCACCTGAGGTTCTTTAACGTGCAGTTAAATCTAAGCACACGGGCATCAAGCAATTTCCCCTCCATCGAAAATGCAGCCAACGCAGCCGCGATTCGATTCCGTGACCTGCGGGTCAGCAGCCGATTGCCTTAGCCATTATACCACCGTGACGGGTCGACGTAATCGGAAACCAAGTGACCTGAAAGCAAAAAAAAACAACAACACAGAGGGCATCACTTGGAGTTTTCGTTGACAGAACAGTTACTATGTCACGAACAAAAATGAGGTTAATTCGTATGACTTGCGATCCGTAGGAACCTAACCAAGCATTTTCGAATCGCGCATCTGGTGTACTATTCGATCATTCCAGCGACTATAGGCGGCGCAGCGGAAGCTATAGAAGTGACGGACGGGAGGGTGATGTCGCGATCGTTTACGTCAGCGTCGCAGAGCGTGAAGACGCGTTCGTTGGTCCATGACCACTGAAAGACCGAACTGCGTCGCAGTTTCATCACCGTGTGACAGCTTCGGAGCACGGCCACATGGCGCCACCTAGGTCGCTGCAATGACGGGCGCTCGTGCCACGGCGTGATAGCTATACGAGTGGTGCCGGCCAACGTCCCCAGGATTGCCATCGCAGAATCACACAATGAACTGCACGGCAAAACAATCGCCGCCGTATATAGTAGCTCAGTCGGTGTAGACAAGGCACATGTTATCTGAAGATTGTGGGATTGATTACAAAAGTTTGTGGGTTACACGAGTTACACAATGTGTCGCATGACTGTTCATTTCTGCGGCGCGCGTAGATTTTGCGCCACGCACGCAGTATATAGGCACGCGCTTTATATATCTGTGCCTTATATATTCTTATACAACAATATCCTTATACAGCTAACCATATATCCTTATATTGCTCCTTATATTCGTGTTGTGTTCCGTAAGTATTTTTGCGTTAACTATGCCACCCAAAATCTATCCCTAGAAACGCCATTGAAGGTTATGTAAGATTATGTTGGGTTGCAATAGGCCCTAAACATGGCGGGCTTTATACTGTTTAGTATTCATAAAATGCTTACGCACTTTCCACCGCTCACCCATCCATCCGCCTGCCCGTGTGCATTAATACATGCACTCAAATTTACTTATTCTTGTATTTATATGTATTTCAGATGACTGCAGCGGTAATAACTTACACTGTTATCCTTATACAAACAAGTCAAAGTGTCAAGGGACTGCATCACCAGGCTCTGCACGTTCCAGGCAGGGATAATAAAAGCCATATGCACGAGTGATAACTTATAAGTTTCATTTTGTGTGTGTGTTTTAAGGGTGGGTGTGTGTGTCAAGGGAGCACGTCGCGGTCATCCTACTTCAGTGTGAAAAATTCTCAAGAGAATTTTTGAGAGTGACGTGAAGATGTACATTACATCTATGATTGTCTCTTTTGAGCATATGTACCATTACGCTCCTATTGTACAGTGTATGTACTGCTGATCCTGGTAACACGCTGCATTGTTCAAAGTTGGCGCTGTACGTTTATGTGTTAGCAACCTTCTGCCTGCTGTGGCTCGCACCAAGAACAACAACAGGCTCGGCAAAACCAGGTCTCGGTGAACGAACGTTCCAGATTTTCTCACGAATAGAAAAGCCAAGCTTACTATCGGGCAGCTTAGTTACAAAAAAGAAGAATTGGGTAGCACAGGTGCACCGCAGGGATCAGTGATATCACCCATGCTTTTTCAACATAGCTCTTGTGGGGTTGCCAGCCAAGCTACAAGAAATCGAAGGGCTCAATCGCAGCGTTTACGTCGACGACATTATACGTTGTTGGTTACGGAGGGCTGCGACGACTACAGGCAACAGCCGTTTCAACGTTCAATTGAGACTGTTGTGCGATACTTAAAGAATACCGGCCTGAGCTGCTTTGCGGCAAAATTGGCAGACCCCACGTACAGTGGGAATCAATGATACGCGAAGCAAGAGTGAGGAAGGTTGATAGTTATGTCGCTTCAAAATCAGCCCAACCTTAAGATACGGACGTAAATCATGCCGCACACGACTTCCATGTCAGGATTATCATGTTTGGACGCCACATTTACCTTCGTTGCCTACTCACGTTTTGTGATGATTGATTGATTTGTGGGGTTTAACGTCCCAAAACCACCATTTGATTATGAGAGACGCCGTAGTGGAGGGCTCCGGAAATTTTGACCACCTGGGGTTCTTTAACGTGCACCCAAATCTGAGCACACGGGCCTACAACATTTCCGCCTCCATCGGAAATGCAGCCGCCGCAGCCGGAAATCGAACCCGCGACCTGCGGGTCAGCAGCCGAGTACCTTAGCCACTAGACCACCGCGGCGGGGTGTACTCACGTTTTGTGATGTCAAATTTGGTACTATATGTATACCCACGCGAGCTCTATAAAAATCAGAAATCAAAATCTCAGTTCTAGCCGGAATCCAAAATAAGTATTTTGCGTGGCGGTAAACATGGAGGAACGAAAACAATGGAAATGGCATTACTTCACACGACTTAAACCCACTAAGTCGATCCAACACGTGATCGAGATGCCATAGCGAGCGGTAGGTTTTACCACTATCGGTGGCTTTCCGTTTCCGAACCTCCTCTGTGAGCCAGCGGGTATGCACCGACCCAGCGCGCTTCGATTAAACTATACCGGATGCCCCACCCCGAAGTCTCGACAAATCTCATATGTCACCGTGACGCAAAATGTCGCGTGTTGGGTCAACACTGCTGAATTAAAAACAGCTTGGCTTGCAAAGGCAAGCTGTGCGACCTAGTGTGGTCTCCTTTGTTTTTTCTTTCTCTATGGCAATCAAGGAGTCTACCGCAGAGCCATGCCACTGTTTGTAACCAATCTGAAAAAAAAAATTATGCAGTCACCGTGTCGGGAAAGCAATTGCGTTAACAGACGTAAAATTGCATGACAGAAACATATTATTGCAGCAGGCGTCACAACATGTTAATAGCGTAATGAGTTGCTGATTGAAATCTTCTGCACAAGTGTGCAGCACACACACACACACACACTCACACTCACACACACACACACACTCACACACTCACACACACACTCACACACACTCACACACTCACACACACACACACACTCACACACACACACACACACACTCACACACACTCTCACACACACACTCACACACACTCACACACACTCACACACACACACTCACACACACACACTCACACACACACACACACACACACACTCACACACACACACACACACACACTCACACACACACACACTCACACACACACACACTCACACACACACACTCACACACACTCACACACACACACTCACACACACACACTCACACACACTCACACACACACACTCACACACACACACACACACACACACACACACACTCACGCACACACTCACACACGCACACACACACACGCACACACGCACACACTCACTCACTCACGTGGTCGGCTCCGATCAAAATATAGCTGGAACAGACGGCTTTCACCTACGAGTCGTCCTGGGTGAAGGCATAAATGAAGTGACCCTGTTCGTTTGTTTGTTTTATTCGGTGCCTTGCAAACCACTCAATGAAAGAAAATAAGAGAGAGTGAGAAAACACCAATAGCCCTTACAGGCTTGAAAACTTCTTTCTACTATACAACCCACTATTACAACACTCCTAGTGGGTTCGAGCGACTACTACAGCGACTATGAGATTGCTCAATGAAGACGACTGAGTGGGTATGAGCCATCGTGGAGGCCTCATCATCATCAAAATCATTCAGTTCTTGCTCAGTCTCCCCCACAGTGGGTGTGAGCTACGCGAGAAGGGGAACAAGAACAAGAAGAGCATGAACCATTCGACGTCGCCTGGGCCACGGCCGCAGAATGAAAAAGAGGTCGTGTCTGCGCGTGTGGTAGCGACGCCCAATGCATCCACCACTAAACTCTTGCCTCGCCCTCCAGGTAAGCGGTCTGTTGCTACCGATACATCGCGTGTAACGGCTAGCCACGTTTAATTTTTTTTCCCAATGCACAGATCCCGTGAGCTTGTCCCTTCCCTTAAAGTTGAGTGTGCCGCACCATCATATAAATTGTAATGAACTGAGAAGCGTGGCGATTTGGGCTAGTTGGTATGACATGACGATTGTTATAGCACGAGAACAGGACGACGACAAAGGAACAAGACGAGGGCTTATTATGGTCTTTTTGTCGTCGTTCTGCTCTCGCTCTATAACGATTGTAATGAACTCGTCAAGTTCATTCTCGCAGCTTCGTCCTTTGGTCATTAACTGAAACTCGAATCAATTACTCAATAACAATTATCTTAACTGCTTGTGCGAACATCAATCACCGCCTAAATTGCAGACGCGGATCCCCTTAATCATGTCTTTAATTGAGAAATTTTACCAGCTACGGTCACCACTTTTATGGGTATACTGTCGAAATAATCACACGAGGTAAGGGTGATCTTCACTGAAGGTGTTCGTTTGCGGTTCAGAAAGGCAACTCCGCGAAATCAGTAGTTTCACTGAGTTGTTAAAAATGCGCGAGCCTATCTTGCTTTGTTAGCTGTAGAATGAAAGAAACACACCGAATCTTTTTTTGGGAGTTGTCTAAGTAAAGCTTTATTGCCTAGTTGCAGCTTCTCGTATAGAAGGTTGTTTTTGGGTCATATTGGCGTAGCACCTTGCCATTTTTTCGCGCGTTCAATCGTCAGCTTTCGTAACGGAAACACGAGGTTTGCACTAAGTTTTCGCGAAAGATGAATTTTGCTGGTGTGTACAATTCCGGTTTAAGATGCTTTGCAGAGGGCTCTCGTTTCACTACAACGAAACCCATTTTTACCAGATTGTTTCGCACCGCGATTGCAACATAATTATGATGTTCCGAGGTATTCACCATCTGCAAGCATGGGGTGTGTAGCCTGCGATGCGCGGGTTGGTTTCGAATCCAGCCCCACCATACGTGTTTGTTTTTTAGGGGCGAAGCTCCTTAGGGCGTGGGCTGTGCGTCCCCTGTAGCCTGTATGTAGCCACCTCTAGTTTAGTTCTTGCAGTGTTCACTAGATGGCGGTACCGTCCCCTGTATGTAGCCACCTCTAGTTTAGTTCTTGCAGTGTTCACTAGATGGCGGTACCGTCTCCTGTATGTAGCCACCTCTCGTTTAGTTCTTGTAGTGTTTACTAGATGGTGGTACTTGTAGCTGATGATGAAAAGGTGCAAGATGTTATAAACTAGAAAGCGGTACTTGTAGTTGATGAAAGACGCGAGATCTTATAAAATAGGAATGATGTCACATATGGCGCGTGTCATTGGTTGAAGGCAATCGTTCGATTTAGTGCGGCGACGTACGCTAGGGGGAGCGTTGTAATAAAATCCGTTCGCTGTTGGCGCGCGCTTGGAGTCGCCGGATGGATAAGGCTGCACAGCGGAGAGAGCGCAAGGCGGCAGCAGCGCGCGCTCGCAGACAGAATCCCGATGTGCGAGCGCGCGAGGCAAGGGACATCGCAAGCCATCCATCGTCTAAGAACAAATAAAAGTTGATTTGTGTATATACACACACAGCGTTTCTCACGTCTTTACATGATGATCGACTGGGCGAATTACACGGAAGATTCACAGCTTACCGATGAATCCCTCCGGAGCTTCGCCCATTCATCATCATTCACCCCGTGAAAATGCCGTAATTTTTTTTTCTTTGTGGCGACGAGCGCCTTACGATACTTTTATTGTTGCATGGTGGGAAACGCTTACGTTAGCTTTAGCGTGCGTCCCAAAACTATACAGTTTCAGAACAGCGTAACGCAAAGCTTTGCGTTGAAAGGCCATGTTTTCATGCAAGGTATACAATGAATAGACGCGTTCCGGCGTCCTGACGAATAAGATAGCGTCTCACAAAGAGCCTCAAGCAACCATCGTTGATGGGTTGTATGTGGGAAGGCACATGCGGTAACGCTAAATCCTTGCGTTAGCAGTTTCCCGCTATACTAAATCACTCCTAATAGGGAGTTTTAGAATACCGGTTGCAACTGCTGCGGGCGTTGTGGGCGTAGCGGGTGCCACATGAGCTTTAGAATAGCGTTTGTCCTGCTGCAAACCACAACGCACGGTTGCGGTGACACCGTAGCCTCGAAACCAGCGCTTGCGGGCCACATGCGGGCCGCGATCGCCGCACGCAATTTCGGATTTTCTGCGTGCGGTCCGCAAGCGTGAACGCCGACTCGCGTTACGACGCATGCGCAGTGGCAGCGACTGCACCGCAACGGC